TAACTCGCTGAGGTCCTACATGGCCGGATGCATCCCAGCACGGCTGGTTTCCCTCCCCTCCGTCCCATCCCTCCCGGCCTTGCATGCTCTCCTTTTCCTGGGCATGACCCACTGCATCGCCTCCTCAGCTATCGGCTGTCCGTCCAGCTCAGACGCAGCTTCTCTGAACTTCTGGTGGCGGACTGTGGAGCCCCAGAGTGCGCTGGTCGAGGGGCCGGCAGGCTGTGGCTGCTGACGCACACCGTCAGCCCCTGTGCGCTCACTAGCCTCTGTATGCGGGGCCAATGGTGTCAGGCAGCGGCCGCCCTGGCCCCTGCCTCACCTTGCCCTGTGACAATGGCACCTCTGCCCTGCCTTACCTTGCCTCCTGCCCACCATCCCACCTGCCAGAGACGTCATGGATCTCCCCCAACCCTGCCCAGCCCCATAGATGTCCCTTCCCACAAGCAAAATTGAGGTGACTACGCCCACCTTGGCCACACCCACTCTGTCTGCCATGACCACTACAGCCACGCCCACCCAGTGGGCCATGCCCATCTGGCACCCAGCGATAAATAAGTGGGTTTTGGGTTGCAGTTTGGGCACTCGGTCTCTAAAAGGTTTTGTTAGAGAATTTTAATTTCTCTATTGGTGAAAAATAAATCAGAAGCTCTCACAGTTGACTGCATTTAGCTGATTCAAAAAACTTTATATTTATATAAAAATATTTACAATACCATTCTTCTTTACAGCAACATAGCTTAATGAAGACTTCTTACAGAGACAGACCAGAGACAAAAACAGAGACTGGAAATCCAGCTCCTAACTCAATACTCTTTTGCACAGACTCAGTAGCACTTTCTTCACATTGGCTGACTGAGTTACCACATGACTCTTCCTGTTCATGAATATTCCAACTCTCCTCCCTTCATGACAGGAAGAGACATCAGACCTAATGCATTCTTTAATCGTGAAAAACCTTGTGCCACTAACCTGGCCTTATATTGTATATCATTATTTGGCAATACCTTTTTCTTATATACCCACTTACAACCCACAGCTTTGGTTCCCTGTGGCAAAGTCACTGATTTAAATACTTCATGGTCTCCCATGGATTTCATCTCTTTATCCATGGCCTCCTTCCATCTTTCTTGTTCAGCTTTTGGTAATGCCAACACCTCTTTATAACTTCTTGCCTCATACCACACATTGCAAACCTTTACCTTGCTGGCAGAATACCTGTCAGGCGGAATTCCTTTATTACATCGCTCTGACCTACGTGGTATTAACTGCTCCTGTGTCTCAATTCTTTCTGGCTTCATGTCTTGTTCAGCCTCTCCTTCCTGAACATTGACATCTTCTATAATAATTTTTTCATCATTAGAGTTATTTTCATTAAACAGATTGCCGTCATTAAGTGAGACATACCCAGAATTTGCATTAATTCTGTCCCAATTTTGTTCTGCAAAATTAGCAGACCTTGAAATTACAACTCTTTTACTTCCATCACTAAAGCGATATCCTTTTGACCCTGGCTCATAGCCCACAAACCTGAGCTTTCTTGCCTTTTGCTGTCCCTTTCTTCTGATTGCTTTTGGAATATGTACCCATGCAGTACTTCCAAAAATTCTCAAATGTGCCAGTGATGGCTTTCTCCCATATAGAATGGCATATGGAGTATTATTAATGGAGGAACTCCACACCCTGTTAACTATATAATTGGCAGTCAATATGGCTTCTCCCCAATATGACCTGCTCAAACCAGAATCCTCCAATAATGAATCTTTCATTGTTTGCAAAACACCATTCTTTCTTTCAGCTACACCGTTCTCTGCTGCTGTGTAAGGATTTGTACGTCTGTGTTTTATCCCCAACTACCCCAACCATTGTTGGAATTTAGTTGACATAAATTCAGTACCTCTGTCAGTTTGCAACTGACACACTTGTTGTCTGTACCTCCTCTCTACAAAACTTACCCACTGTTTGAATTGTTGTAGCACCTCTGTCTTTGCTCTAAGCAAGTAGCAAAATGAATACCTGCTATAATCATCAACAATTACCAGTGCATATTTTGCTCCTCCCAAAGTGGCTTGCATAGGTCCCACCAGATCTGCATGGACCATCTCTAAAACTCTTTTTGTTTGTCTTGTGCTACATTTACTAACTGCGAATGCCTTTGACTTTGATGCTTTGCATACTGCACAGTCCAAATATGTTTTGCATCCCTTCAAATTTAGCCCTTCTGCAAAATCTTGCATTTGCTACAAAACTTTAAAGCTTGCATGGCCAAGTCTTCTATGTAGAAGATGAACACATGAATCATGCTCTGCAACATTCTTAAATATATGGGAACATTGAACCTTTTGTCCCTGCAATACATATAGATTATCTTCCTTTATGCCTTCTGCACAAATATTCCCATTCCTTTTGATGAGACATTTCCCATTTACAAAAATGACCTCAAAACCTTGTTTGTCTAAATTAGACACACTTAACAAATTATGTTCCATCTCAGGTACACAAAGCACATTGGTAAACTTTGATTCCAAATATGGAATTTTTACATCGCCTCTTCCAATGACTTTTGCTTTCTGGCCATTTGCCAAAGCCACAGCTTCTTGTGCTACTGGAACAAACCTGCAAAATAATTCAGAGTCATTAACAATTGTTTGACTTGCCCCACTATCAATTAGCCACTTGTCTCTGTTGTTGCTATTGCAAACGTTTGCAACACCAAAATGTTCCTTTTGCAAAACAGTCCTTTTTCCTTGCACAAATGTCCTTTGCTGCAAATAGTTCCTCTGCAAACAGTTCCTTTGCAAATGGTTGTTTGCTCCACAAATGTAGCAAGTCTTTTCCCGCTGAGCAGCTCTCTGCTTGCAAAATCTCTCCTTTGTTGCAATTTGGTCCGGTCCGATCTGCTTGTTTCTTCTTCTCCTTCTCCGGAGACTTGCAGTCTGGACCCCCTCCTCAGGAATTTCTCCTCCTCATGGCTGCTTCTAAAATGGCATTTTTCCTCTTTATTAAGCAAACATGCCTTTAAAGCCTTAAAATTTAAGTCTTGCTCTTCTTTACACTCAAATTTTGCAGAAACTGTGTCCCAGGTTTTATCTAAACTGTTCAACACCAATAAAACTGGGACTCAGGGAATTTAATCCCACGTTGTTCTAAGTCCAAAAATAAACTTTGCATTTTATTTAAATGCTGTTGCACAGATTCACCTGGTTGCAAACAGGCCCTGTAAAGTTTTCTTGACAATTGCACTATATTGCATGCAGAAACATTCATGTGCACAGCTCTCAAGTTCAACCAAATTTCCTTTGCAGTCTTTAAATTTGCAACATTTAGAAATTGTTCATCATCTAAATTCAAGATGAGATAAGCCATTGCTCGATCATGACTTTTCTGATCAACTGCTGCAAATACTTGTGGTGGATTTTCTACAATATACCACAGCTCTTTAGCTTTCAGCAAACATTCCATTTTAGCAGCCCACACAATGTAATTCTTCTGGCCCAAACGAGGCACACAGAGACAAAAACAGAGACTGGAAATCCAGCTCCTAACTTAATACTCTATTGCACAGACTCAGTAGCACTTTCTTCACATTGGCTGACTGAGTTACCACATGACTCTTCCTGTTTATGAATATTCCAACAGGTTTGCCATCACTGGTCTATCTGATAGGAAAAGGCATTAGGTTAGTTCAGTGTTTCTCAAGCTCATCAACTTTTAGACATGTGGAATTCTGGGAATTGAAGTCCATACTTCTTAAAAGTTGCTGAGGTTGAGAAACACTGGCTGGAAACACAAAGTAGGCTTATATTCTTTGCTGTCCTAAGCAACCAGTTAGAGTAGCTGGAGGTGTGTGGGTTGCTGCCTAGAGCATCAACAATAACTGCATTGTATAGGTAGTGAGAGGGAAACATACCTGCTTAACTGGAGAAGCAACATACCTTGGAATAAGTCTCCTGGGACTTTGCTTTTATTTACTTGAAGATCAGCAGAATTAATCCTGCTTCATATCATGAAGAGTTGGGGAAAAAGGTTCTATCATTGGACCTGATTACAGGTAATCCTCAATTTACGACTGGCTGCTTAGCGACAGTTTGAAGTTACGATGGACCTCTCCCTACTTACAAATTTTGAAGTTTCGACAGTTTCCCCTCCCCCTGTGGTAACATGACTGCAGATCAGGTGCTCGTCAACCACCCTGCATTTATGACTGTTTGCAGCATCCCGTGGTCATTTGACCATGTTTTATTATATTTGTACCAAAAACTGTCATTTACTTCCAGCTTTTGGCAAAACCAATCCATAACAAACAGCCGTGTTGCTTAATGACTGTAGCATTCACATGACCGACTCAATTCGATGCCAACAAGATCATAGAACTGGGTTGGTCATGTGGGTGATATGCTTTACGATCATCATGACTTACGACCATAATGCATATTCTCCATTACACTCCTAAGTCGAAGACTACCTGTAGGAATGTGAAAGTATTCTGAGACCAATTTAATGAATTGAATTTGCGGTTTTTTTTCCTCCAATGACCAAACAAGCATAAACACAGCATCATGTGAAGTGTTGGTCTGCTTTCATGTTTTATGTATCAATAATCTATAGAAAAGTTTGTAGAAAGAAAATAAAACAAAAACTGTAGACAAATAGTTATACCAAGAAAAGGGATTACATTTTCATTTAAGAGCCTGCATTATGAGCATTGATGTGTCCAACAATGAAATTAGGGTGCTTTGCAATTCTTTTTAAAAAAGTTTCTGGATAATTTATGTTAACAATTACCCAAATTAAGAAAAGATCAATACAAAGCTTCCATTTGACAGGAGATTACACAAATGAAGATATTTCCTATTCAACTGCTATTGGATCAGAGTACTTTTCTACAAATATGAACAGGAGTTTTAACGACTCATAATAGGCAAGTGCTACTGAATTCTTCATTGCTTGGTTTATAGATCTATCACTTTATAATATTTCGCCTTTGTAATTCTTCCCAGGTGTGATATCCATGAGCATTCAAGTGCCTCTCGGGGAAGCTGTTGCTGTAACCCCAACTGTGGCCAATGGATCAGGAGCAGAGAAATACAAGCTCAAACCCAACGAGGTGGAAGTCGATTCCAACGAGATGGACTTGACTGAAGGTGATGACTCCTGGGATGATATTGGAGCTATTATACCCAACCTGGAAGACCTGGACTCCCCACAAGATAACAGAACAGAGGGAGTCAATAAGGAGCAAGGAATTACTGTGTGGGGATCTCTAAGCACCTCAAAGCCCAGCATTGCTGAAGAAGAAAATCTGAAGATGATTGCAGATGAGGAGGAAGATTCTCTGACCCTATTAAATCTCCGTGTTAAAAGAGCCGTTGAAGAAGATTATGGGGCTGGTGAATCAGAGACCATCCTTAATGAGGATGAGTTTTCCTTTTCTGATTTGCCCAAGATTTTTGAGCCTTTAATAAAGGCTTTCTCTGGCTCCCCAACATCTGAGCCTCCTTCACCAGAGGTTTTTTTCTCTTGGTTTCCTTCTCTAAAGGAGCTACTGGATCCCCCAAGGGAGGAACCTGCTTCAGTCACCAGTTCACCAAGGAGGAGCATCACACCACCACCAAGAAGATCTGCTCTCCCTACTTCGTTAGAGCCGTCTCTGCAGATGGCCCCTGCCATCCCTTCTGCTCAACCAAATGAAGCAGAGAGCCTTCCCTTCCCCTCTTCACTGGAGGAATCCATCACTTCTATTATTCCAACTCTCCCTACCCCACCTCAAACGAGTGAGCCTTCTCTCTCGGATGTCTCAGACTCTGAAGAGAGATTTAATTGATCAGAAATATAATCTTGATCAGGAATAGCTAAGCTTACCTTTTCTTCTTGTTTTTCCTGGAGATTGAAAAAAATAAAGACCCCGTTAAGGAAGATTGTAGGGTGGTGAAAGAAACACCATCCTTGATCTTTTGCTTTTACTTTTAAAGGGATCTGAACAAAGCACAATGTATGCGGTGGTGGGATTCAAATATGTGAACAACCGGTTCTCTGTGTGGATGCCGCTTCCAGAAGTCCATTCTGGGCCTGGGCAACAAAAATTAGCTACCGGTTCTGCCGAAGTGGCGTGAACTGACTGAATCCCACCACTGAATATATGCTTCGATTTTTTTTGGGGGGGGGAAGGGAAGGAAATATGATCTTGTATACATAGCAATCCTTTTGAATTTTCTTTCTACTAAGGTTGGAAATGCCCCTTTGATGAGTACTGTTATGAAAATAAAGTAACTCTATATTTCAGGTATGGGAAACTATAACTTCTTTTGGTAGGGTTCCAGCTCCAAAGCACTTTCTCTACCTTTCTTTCATAACATGTTGGGGAGGCAAATTATGGATGCACAGGATCTGCTCTGTGTTTCACCAGAGCCTCAAGATCCATAATTTGGAATTAGATGCAAAAATTTTACAAATTCTGAGGTTGGAGTTTAGGACTGTGTTTTTTGGGGGGTGGGATGATATCAAAACTGAATTTAACCCCTAGTTATTTGTGTAAATCCACACAAAAACAGCAATAGCAATAGCACTTAGACTCATATGCTGCTTCATAGTGCTTTGCAGCACTCTCTAAGAGGTTTACAGAGTCAGCATATTTGCCCCCAACAATCTGGGTCCTCATTTTACCGACCTCAGAAGGATGAAAGGCTGAGTCAACCTTGAGCTGGTCAGGATCAAACTCCTGGCAGTGAGCAAAGTCAGATTGCAATACTGCATTTTAACCACTGTGCCATTACGCCAAAATCCATCCTAGATGGATTGCTTCTATTTCAGCCATATATTTTTGTGTTATTTGTCACTGTTTTGTTGGATAGTTAGGATGAGAAATTTTTAAGTAAGTTCTCAGTCCTTTATCAACCAAATATATTACACCTCCCAAGGCAGCACTGATAGATTAGCAAGTTAAATGGGAGTTGTAATTTAATATATTTAAAGGATCCCAAATTTGAGGAGAATCTAATGGGTTAGTGTGGAAAGGAGAACACAACACAAGACATGAAGTTGGCTTAAAGCTTAAAGCCAACCAGCTACAATTAAATGAAACTGATTTATGAAAAGCCAAAATTTACTCCATCACCAAGTATAATCTCCTTCCTCTAGTAATTGTCAGGCCCAAACAACCAGACCCATAGGTGTAGAGTTCAAATCTTCCCAAAGTGGCAGCTGTTGCCTGGGAAGACCAGACAAGGCACAAATACATTCAGGGGTGTCAGACATGGCCTTCTTGTGTTTACATGGACAGTCTAGTCCAGGGGTAGGCAACCTTGGCTCTTTTATGATTCATGGACTTCAACTTCCAGAATTCCTGAGCCAGCATGGCTCAGCTTGGAAACCTCTCCCTTTCCCCTCAGCATGGCTGGCTCAGGAATTCTGGGAGTTGAAGTCCATGAGTCATAAAAGAGCCAAGGTTGCCTACTCCTGGTATAGTCTGAGCTCCCCTCCCTCTTTCCTTGCTAAAGAAACTGTGGGTTATTCTGTGGGAAAGAATATCTGCTTAATGTTTACATTAAGGTTCTGCCTCATCAGTTTCAGCTCTTATATCTCCTCCCTGCCTATTTTCTTCTTCCTTGTTGAGTATTAACTCTATTATAGTTTTTTTTAAAAAAATAAATAGGCTAAATGTCCTATTAGTAATTTACACGGCAGCAAAGCTGTTTCAAGGTAGCTTTTATGTTCACCATTTCTCTAACCAACTGGGCAGAAGTCAGGTGGAGTTCTGTCAGTTTTCAACATCCAACAGTTGAAACAAAGCTTTCCAAAAACACACTGTGAAAACTAGAAATGAGAGAATTGGGTAAACAGTTGTTTCAGAAAAAAAAAATGATTGACTAAACAGGAAAACTTCTTCAGGAGCAGAATAAAGGCCAGGATATGAAATAGGCCATCTTAGAAAAAACAAATATTTCATCTGGGTGCTTGGCAATTACAAAGGTAGGTCATGTTTGAAAACTAAGGAAAATGTGCCCTTACGGAGTGGGGAAGGGAGGGAATCCAACAGCCCAGCCAGTTAGTGGTGAGAGATGGCCTGGTTTGAAAAATGAGGCAAAAAGAAAATATATGGCTTGATCTCAGCTCTAAAGTAAGGCACATGGAGCAGGTGGCCCATTTTACATATATTGAAATGCTAGCTACTAGAGTAGATCTGCCAAACCTCTTTTGGTGGCTGGGGAATTGTGGGAGTTGAAGTCCACACATTTTAAAGTTGCTAAGGTTGAGAAACACTGGGTTAAGATATGAAATTCAGACAGCATTTTCTACCTTCTGCAGAAGAAATTCCAAGAGGAAGGAATTCACGAGAGGCGGATAGGTCAATGCAAGACTCAATACCCACTGTTAGGTCAAAGAAAGAGAAGACATGTATGCAGCAGGGCTTAGAGAGAGGGAGTGAATAGGTATGGTAAAAGAAACTGGTAAGAACATTCAAGGGTTGTAAAAAAGGAAATGTAAGTGTCCATGTTTAGTAGGCTACAAAGGCTTCTAAAATAATCACTAGATTCTTCATCTGATACCCGTTTCAGTTTGGGAATTTTTGTCTGACTACAGTAAACACTTCTTGGAAACTGATCACATCTCAAAGTTCATTCCTCAGGGAAACAAAACCATATCATATTACGGGAAGATGAAAAATTTACCTGCAACAACATGCTTATCATTCCCTTTTTAACCCTTGAGATTTGGATGTCTTGGGTCTACAGGACACCACTTTCATTGATCCATTTGTAGCATAATATCCCGCTTTTCTCCTAGGAGGTCAAGGAAATACTGAGAGAGCCAATTTGGTCTAGTGCAGGGGTAGGCAACCTTGGCTCTTTTATGACTCGTGGACTTCAACTCCCAGAATTCCAGAGCCAGCGTGGCTCAGCTTGGAAACCTCTCCCTTTCCCCTCAGCATGGCTGGCTCAGGAATTCTGGGAGTTGAAGTCCACGAGTCATAAAAGAGCCAAGGTTGCCTACCCCTGGTCTAGTGGTTAAGGCATCAGGCTAGAAAGCAGTGATCATGAATTCAAGTCCCACCTTAGCCATGAAAGCCAGCCAGGTGACTTTGGGCCAATCACTCTCTCTCAACCCAACCCACCTCACAGGGTGGTGGTTGTGAGGAAAACAGAAGGAGGACGGTGTGTTGGATATGTTCACCAGCTTGAGTTATTTTTAAAAATAATAAAGGTGGGAAACAAATAAAAAACAAACAAACATAAAGATACACAGAACATTCTCACATTTTGTTATTACGCATATATCACATTCTGGTTGTATTCACACAATGTTTTAAAAAGGGAAAGAGAAATAAGGTGTTGTCCAAACATTATAATTTACCGTTGGGGCTAGAGGCTGGTAGTTTTAATCCAGAACAACTCCAGGTTATTTGGGGCTGTGCTAAGTAACTTTACCGGGTCCAATTTGGTATCCTGATTAAGGAATTCTGGGAGTTGAAGTCCACGAGTCATAAAAGAGCCAAGGTTGCCTACCCCTGCACTTGACCAAGCTAGAAGCCAGGAGACAGTGAGTTTTAATCCTGCCTGAGGTACAAAGCCAGCTGGGTGACATTGGTCGAGTCTTTCTCTCTCAATTCTAAGGAGGAGGAGGCCAAGGCAAACACTTCAAAAAAATCTTGCTGAGAAAACAGCATGGACCAGTTCAGACAATCACCAGGGATCCACATTGACTCAAAGTCTTCCCTTCATCAACTCTCACGTATAAGCAGATACCGCCTTCAGAATAATAGAGTTGGAAGGGGCCTTGGAGGTCTTCTAGTCCAACCCCCTGCTCAAGCAAGAGACCTATACCATTTCAGACAAGACACACATTGGCATAGAGACAGACTCCTAACTCGCCCCATTTAGAGAGTTGAACTTACCTGCCCCACTGTTTTCTTCCCCAGTACAAATGGAGAGAGAAATGAAATTTCCCTGCACACCCACAAAACCGTGGTTGATGTTGTTATTGTTTTACAAGATCTAAGTGGAATCCTGATAGGGCCACCAGCAGTACAGATTTTGTTCTTAATTTTTCTCTCTCTCAAAGAGTCAGTAAAGTAATAAAGTCTTTTGGCAAGCTCTGGGAAGCAACTTAAGGTTGTTGTTATTCTTATTATCATAACTACTATTACTCTATTTTTATCCATCCCAATTTTGACTGGCACATTGTGATTGTGCACTTTGGAAGCCAGAATGAAATATTTCCTCTGTTGTTGTGGCTGATTTAAGACTGTTTTCTTTTTTTAACACATCCCTCGAGACTTTTTTTCAGAGTTCATCTATGAGTGAGTGAGATGAGCAGTCTCTGATATAGGAATAAATAAATATAAAATAAATAAATGGGTGGAATTACAGTAACTTCTCCAGGAGATGGCAATAGATACACACGATAACTTGGAGACCATTTATGTCTAATTGCCACTGATTTACTCATCCTTCCCACAGGAGAATCACTGTAGGTCAAGGAATGGGCAGCCTGCAGCCTGCAGGTGGCTTCAAACACCTTTTTGGTGCTGTTTGCCACAATTGTTTTGACTGCACGTATCTAATGGGGAAAACAGATTTACCTTACAACTGTGTTACTAACTTAGCAACCACAGTGATTCACTAAACAAGTGTGGCAAGAAAGATGGTAAAATGGGGCAAAACTCATTTAACAAATGTCTCACTTAACAACAGAAATTTTAGGCTCAGTTGTGGTCGTAATTGAGGACTACCCATACCTGCACAGGAGAAACAGTAGACAGATTTGTTTCCAGAAGATCATATCATTGGAAGATGTTTAATCTTTGTCCAATGTATCTTTCGGAAGATTCCTTATGTGATGTTCTGTATTAATTAATGAGAAACAGTCTAAGACCAAGAATAACTTTCATTGTTATTGATCCAGTTTCTACATCTATAGAGCTACTGGCTTTATTTATTTCTTTATCTCCTGCCTTTACTATTTTTACAAATAACTCAAGGTAGTGAATATATCCCACATGCCTTCATTCTCCTATTTTCCCTACAGCAACAACCCTGTGAGGTAGATTGGGCTGTGAGTGAGTGAGTGAATACTACTACTACTACTACTACTACTACTACTACTACTACTACATAACAATGACAATAACAACAACAACAACAACAACAACAATAATAAAGATGGAAGGGACCTTGGAGGTCATCTAGTCCAACCCCCTACTTAGGCAGGAAACCCTATACCATTTCAGACAAATGGCTGTCCAGTCTCTTCTTAAAGACTTCCAGTGTTGGAGCATTCACTGCTTCT